TACTGGTGGCCATTTTTACCTTCACGCATTCGGAACTCTCATTATTCTTTCATTACTTCTTTCCTTCCTTCTTTCATTTTTTTTTGGGGGGACTTTATGTCATATCTGTCATTATCATCCGTCGTAAATCCGGTTAAAATGGTGAAAATCTGTCGGGTTTTTTTACCTGTTTTTTTTTTTCATTTCGAGGTGTTAGTTGTGATTTTTTTTTTCGTGTGTTAAAGAGCTAAGTCATGAGTGAGTAATTTGTAAATATATGTGATTATTTTTTGCTTCAGCGATAATGGTTAAGTGAAAAGTTCCACACAGACAGACAGACATTAACACACACACACACACACACACACACACACACACACACTTAGTAACTGACCAATACACAAACACACACCTAGTAACTGACCAACACACACACACACACACACACCGCAATAACAAGTCATCTCCGGACACATTCTTGGCTTGGGGCGATAGGACGTTAAGGTCTCCCCACGATGCTCATATTTACACGACACTGCATATTTTTGGCGGAAAAAATTACGTGATCTTTGTAATAATATCTTAGGGAATTCAGACAAGCCTAACGTGAGGTAATTTAGCTTAAGTTACGTTGGGTATATTTGTTTCAGAGTCGTAGTAGTAGTGGTGGTGGTAACAATAATAATAATAGTAATAATAACGATAATAATTTATATCATTCGTAACAAAATAAATTATATCTCATAATTATTCCTCTTACAGTATTTTCTCATCCACATATGATTTTATTTATTTTTTCTCCCAACTTTGTCTTGTATGTGTATCAGCAGAACGCACAACCACCATTGTTTACGTAGCGAATCGGTTCGTGGATTCATCCGACTTTGGGAAGGTAATTACTCTGTGTCGTTCTGGTCGGCGGATGGGTATTTGACCGCCCTATTTGCTCAGCTCGTAACATTTAGTCCTCGAGTCCATGTGGTTTAGTAAATACCTATGTATCCTAAAACTGTATACATAATGTATGCAGTTAACTAACATGTTGTTCAAATTCATGACAGATATAAAGTAATCATGTAATATTATTAGTAGTATCAGTTACTCACGAAGCATTCCATTGTTTATTTCCTTGGGCGTGTTAATTCTATTCGTTACGCTTCTTGTCACTCGATACTGTGCCGTGAGTCGCCCCACACCAGGATGTTGCTAATACCATGGCGTCAAATACTCCGAAGATTTTCTCTGTTTCCGTCATATTTCTGAATGTTAACAAAAGGAAAAAATTACACAGTAAAAGCCAGTGGATTTTATTGTTTCCTGCGGCAGAACAAGAGAGGAATGCACGGTGGTACACCCTAAGTGCCGGAAACATTTATTACGCGCTGATGCACACCTGAAAACTCTTCCAGCCACGCTCCCCACTTTATCCAGAAATGACTGTAAATGCATTATATCAAACCTGATTTATGTGGGAGTACCAAACACATCCTGAAATGTTAATATGAAAGAGATAAAAACATGATTAGGTTAGGTTTGTGGCAGGAGAGAGAGTGAACCTTCGGGAGAGAGGGTAGTGAGTGAGGGTGACGGAGTGACAGTAACAGCCCCGTCGGTACATGAACACAGTGTTTGGCGCTACTTGGCTCACAGGTTTAAATTGAGGAACGCTCACATTATTCTTTAGATTTATACCATCATGTCCTAATGACAGATGGCATGTGCATAAATCACACTATCGATGCATTTATATAATAATACTTTTTAATACAAAAATACTGATATTTGTCGGAGTTTTCTTGCGTAAAAAGTCTGCACAAGAATTTTTTTTTTTTAGATTTGAAAGGGCTTTAACCCTCATTTTTTAAATAATATTTTTATTATTAAAAATGTCATGACAATGAACCAGGATATCAGTTCTATATTAATGAAAATGAAGTCCCGTTATTTATTTATATATTTATTAAAGCAATTATTATTTCAGTACTTTCGCGCGAGAAATATTTAATTTAGCGGCTCATGAATAACGAAACAAGATAGCTACCAACATGGCGTCGAAATTGCTCTCAGACGGACCGTAGACAGTTGTATGGGCGTTGTGTTGCTGGAGAAATAATACCCAAGGGTGTCTGAGAATACGAGACGCAACTCTCAACGAGGATTGTCACGTTAGAGCTACGAGTACACGTCTCTTTACTTTATCCTCTTCGCCATTGTCGGCTCGTTAGCCGCTTGGGTGGTCGTCACGATTCTGTTACTCACTGTTGGTACCGTAAGTACTGCACCTGTACTGGCTGCACAATGTATCTGTAAATGCGCCAGTGTTGGTCAAGTCTGCTCTCGAATGAGCTCACATTTGATGCCGTCACAACAGTCTCTGGCAGGTTGTTCCAAGAGTTCACAACTCTTACTCCAAAAAAGATTGCCTTGACAATTTTCAGAATTTGTGGCTTCTTGGACCTTAAGCTGTGAGCCTTAATAGGGGCGGCATCCGTCAGCTCTAGTGTTCATATTATGAACACTAGACTGAGTAATGACCTTGGAGGCGCTCTAATCTCTCTGGGTACCTGAGATGCAGTAGTGCATGCACCAGTTTGATGGCCCTCCTTTGAACATTTTCAATCATCTGACAGTCTCTAGTATATCTCGGGGACAAGACAGGGAAGCACCTACCCTTTGATGAGGGTTATGAGAGTGTGAACAACTGTCTTATAAGACCTCCCGGTATTAGCTTAGTTGCTTGATTCAACCTTCTTCCTACTTCGCACTTTTCGAGAAAAAAAAATAGGCTTCATCTCCCTATAATAGAAGTTTGAGGGCTTCGTTTCCTCCTCACTGGAATATTTCTGTGGTGGGGAACTCGTAATGACTCATCATTAATCCCCATACTGTGAGGTGTCTGAAGATTCATCCGATGGTCCAGTTACTTGAGCACGCACAGCACCCTGCTCAAGCATCCACAGCTAACATGCTGGGGCGTTCAGTGAAGTGCATTAATGGTGTGTGTGACGGGGGGAGCTTACTGAACATTATATGATCAATGTAATAGATGTAATCACACTTTAACGGTGTGTGTGTGTGTGTGTGTGTGTGTGTGTGTGTGTGTGTGTGTGTGTGTGTGTGCCAAAGATTTTTATACAGATATAAAAATTCTACTCATGGTGTGGGTTTTTTTACCCCCCAGCACGCGGTTGTATTTTCTCAGGTTTGTTTACTTCCGTCGACCACACCCAGACGTGTCAATCATCTTCCAGCAGAAACAACGAGGGGGGAGGGACGGTTAATGAAATACCTATCATGGCGGTCTAAAGGAGCATGTCTTACTGGTTAACAAGGGATAGTGGTATTAATCTTGGTTCATGGTGACACACACACACACACACACACACACACACACACACACACACACACACTAAAACAACAATTATTACTCAACTTTCATACACCACAAACTGAGAAACAAACACAAAAACAAAATTCCAACTGATCATGAAGAACAAGGAGGAGCATGTTCAAGCTTACTAAAACACATACAATCTACCCCCCTCCTCCTTCCCTCCCCCCTCCCCCTTCCCTTTGCACCCTACCATCACCACCCGATCGGCACGTCATAAGCACCACGAGGAATATCCGGCCAGATTATATAGTGAACTCTTCTTCTCCTCTATATTGAAATACTCTTTTCTCAAATGGCCTATAGACGACTCAGTATAGATTAGGTTAGATGAAGTTAGGTCAGGTCAGGTCAGGTTAGGATCGACTAACCTTGTGATTTAGAATTGTGAGTTGGGGTTTTTTTTGTCTGTTTTATTTGGTTTCATGATTTTTTTGTGGTTTATATTATATATTTAGTTATTTTTATTATATGATCTACTGCAGTTGTGTCGTGGGGTTTCTTGAGTGGTTGGCGGTACTCTCTCTCTCTCTCTCTCTCTCTCTCTCTCTCTCTCTCTCTCTCTGTTTATCTTCCTTGATACCTAAATGAAGACTTAGGTGTAAACATTTAATATAAAAGAGACAGACAGACAGACAGATTAATATACAGTATGGTATAATAAATAAATACAAATATTTGCCAGTAGAGAGAGAGAGAGAGAGGGGGGGAGATAGTAAGAGAGAGAGAGGGGGAGATAGTAAGAGAGAGATATTGAGGGGGAATAGTAAGAGATAGTAAAGAGAGAGGGGAGATAGTAAGGGGAGATAGTAAGAGATGATAAGAGAGGGAGATATTAAGAGGGAGATAGTAGAGAGATGGTGAGGAGATGACAGAGAGAGGGAGATAGTAAGAGAGACAGACGGTAGGGAGGGAGATAAATACATACATAGCGATAGAGAGAGAGAGAGAGAGATAGAGATAGTGAGAGAGAATAGCCACTCCCTGGCATCAGCCACAATCCTCCTAAACAACCTCGAGAATGGGACAAAGTTCAGTTCTAGTCGCCATGTTTTTTTTTTTTCGAAGTGATGTTCGCGATAGAAATCACCAGTTATTTGAGATTTCTGGTCCGCTGCATTGTACAGAAACCAGGAAATGATGGCTGGGTTTGAACGTGAAAAAAAAGGGAAAAAAAGAAAAAAAAAAGAGTTATTTTAGGGCGGTTGTATTGTGTATAGGTTGGTGTATTATTATTATTATTATTATTATTATTATTATTATTATTATTGTTATTATTATTGTTATTATTATTATTATTATTATTATTATTATTATTATTATGGATGAGAGTTTAAGGTTGTGAGTGAGTGTTAGTGTGTGTGTGTGTGTGTGTGTGTGTGTGTGTGTGTGTGTGATACAAATATGATATATAATAACGATGGGAAGAGAGAAAAGGTCAAACAACAGGGCATTTTAACATAATAACAGCGCCAAAGGAAAATTAATAGGAAATAAAGGGTAATATTCTTGTTTTATTAATTAACTAGAAAGTCTATACCAATTTTCGACAGGTAAGGAGAACTTGTAGGTGTAGCGTTTGTGTCACTGATAACACCTTCCGTCACGTCAGATAGGGAGAGATAAGACACCTGTAGGTCACCGTTACCACTAGTAGCGTTATATACAGCCTTTCACTCTGATAGCATTGGCAAGTGTTGGTGTGTGTTGACGAACGTGTGGTGGTGCTGGTGGTGGTGGTGAGATGTTGATAGCACCTTGAACAGCACTCAAAAGTATCCTGATTAGCACTTAACAAGACCCCAACACCGCCCTGAACAGCACTCTCAGCAGCATCCTGAACAACACTTAACAGCATCCTGAACAGCACTTTCAACAGCACACAGAAGCATCCTGTTAACACTCAACAGCACTTAACAGCACTCGACAGCACCCCAACACAGCCCTGAGCAGCACATCAACACCACCCAAAACAGCACTCATCACCATCAACAATGTGAGTTAACTAAGCCCCGAGTGTCAATATTCACCTAACAAACACGTCAATAAGAATGATTTAATTTGTCACCACAATAACAGTGGTGATATTAGGAAGGTATTGATCTTTATATGTAAGTTACTGTCCACCTATTGAAGCGTTTATGTACAGTCCCCTTCACTAGTGCGTTTATAGGAGCTCATTAGATTTTGTGCAGTGTGGCAGCCCTGTGTTTGTTTACATTTGACAGAAGGAAACTCGCAATATTAAACTTATTATAGAATCAAAGTAAAACACTATTGAAAAAATATCTCAACGATAATGATTTGTGGAATGTTTATATGACGAGCCCCTGTAAACGCAGAAGTGAAGGGGACTGTGCATTACAGTCAACTACTAAAACATATGTTCTTGCATCCAGAGTGTGTTCGAAAATCCAGAGTGTGTTCATATATCCAGAGTGTGTTCTTTATATCCCGAGTGTGTTCCTATATCCAGAGTGTGTTCTTTATATCCCGAGTAATCCCCACATGCCTGTATCATATCCTAATACACAGATTCAGGTATGAACTACAGGTAGATACAGTAATTACCACCAGATGTTAGTAAATACTTAGACCTCGGTAAATGGATCCTCCCCCTCCCCGTTCAGTGATCCAACAAGCAGCAGATGGCGTTTGGTTGAGGATTTACGACACCAGGGTTTGCATCCCTCAGGAGATTCGTACGCTGAGTCCATCTTCTTCCTTCTCCCCTATCCCTCCCCCTCCTCGTCCCCCCCCCTCCTCGTCCCCTCCCCCTCCCCCCCTCCCCCCCTCCTCGTCTCCCCTCCTCGTCCCCTCCCCTCCTCCCCTCCTCGCCCCCCCCAGCCGGAGATGAGGGAACGCATCTTCTCGCTCTTATGTACACAGTCTTGGTGTGGTCTTGGTGCCATTTTGTCTAGTCTTGGTGGTGTGGTTTGTGTGTGTGTGTGAGTCAGTGAGAAAGGATGTACACACACACACACACAAACACTACTCAACTTGACGATAATATAACCACAAACATGCAAGCATTCACAGCCTCTTTAGTATTCACACACACACACACACACACACACACACACACACACACACACACACACACACACACACATCAAGTATCAGACTGATGTACGTGTGTGTGTGTGTGTGTGTGTGCGTGTGTAAGGACAGATAGAACGAGAATGAAAGGTAAAGGTACAAAGAGACAGAGACATGTGGAAGCTTTGAGGAAGAGAGAGAGAGAGAGAGATAACTCACACAATGTGCCCCGTCAACCATTTCACTGTGGTGTACCTCAGATGTCAGTGAACCATTTCCCCTAATCCCCCTTCCCCCTTAATTCCTTTCCCCCTAATTCCCTTACTCCTTCACTCTCTTACCCCCTTCCTCCTTACCCCTCACCCCTTCTCCCTTACTCCCATCTCCCTTTACCCCTTTACTTCCCCCTTACGTGCGATTAGAGTGAGTTGGTGTAGTTATTTAACGACCTCTCTCTCTCTCTCTCTCTCTCTCTCTCTCTCTCTCTCTCTCTCTCTCTCTCTCTCTCTCTCTCTCTCTCTCTCTCTCTCTCAGTGTCTAA